TGGGATTACAGACATGCACCACTATGCCTTGCTATTCTGAAATTTTTAAGAACATTGTTTTTATACCTCAAGTTATAGACTAGGATTAAATTATTTAAAGACTTTTAGTTTCATAAATTCATTGAGTGTTGCTGGTTTCTTTTCTTTTCTTTTCTTTTCTTTTCTTTCTTTCTTTCTTTCTTTCTTTCTTTCTTTCTTTCTTTCTTTCTTTCTTTCTTTTTTTGCTGTACCGGGGATCGCACTCAGGACCTTGCATTTACAAGCAGGTGCTTATGTCACTGAGCTATCTCCCTGGCCCCTATTGCTGGTTTCTTTTCATACTATCTTCCTAACATTTTTTATAAGAAAGCAACTAATATTTTATTTCTCAGTAAATTCTCTAAGATAAATAAATCCCTTTTAATAGAAATAACACATTTAAAACCTGTAAAATTAAATATCCCATGAAATACTTTTAGTTTTCTACTGAAGAACAGTATTTCTCTAATGCTTTTTGCAAAGTCATTACATTTTTGACTTGAAAGCATAGTTGCTTTGCAATAATGACATAAATGCTTCTAAAACATTTCAGCATTGTTGACCCACATGTGCTGTTGATTAGAAGATGAGAATTTTCTAATTGCAAAATTTGCAGTATATATGTGTATATTTAGAAAATATCTGTTGGAAAGTGTGTTTGATGGTCACTGTTTTCCTGCTGACAGCCCTGTAACTTCTATGTGGTGTCCAGACTTGAGTGTTTGGCAGAATGTTTGCTATGTGATCTTTTGGCAGCTTCTGCTCCTTTGCTTGAGGAAACTTCAGAGGAAGACCTCTGAGTTCCCTTCTGGTCACCTGATGGCAGAAACTCATTACCAGGGTCAGCTAGGGCTGATCTCCAATTTGGCTGCCTTTATTAGCTCAGCTAAGGGCAGAGAGGCTGTGTGTGTGTGTGTGTGTGTGTGTGTGTGTGAGAGAGAGAGAGAGAGAGAGAGAGAGAGAGAGACAGACAGACAGACAGACAGACACAGACAGACAGATTCTGGCTACTTTCTGTTCACCTCACTGATGACAGACAAGTGGCTTTTCCATCAACCTCATGAGATGGGCAGCATCCAGCCTAGGGAGAAGCCATAGTAAAGCAGTCTACTTAGCATAATAGTCACAGCTTAGGAGAGAAGGACCTGCTTGGAGGGAGGACATGCCTTGCCTGGCCGTGTGCAATGTGGAGGTTTCCATTAGGAGCAGAGTGAAGGAGTGGAGACCTAGAAAGGAAGCTCTGGTGTGGTAAGAGCGTGTGTGTGGGTGAGCCCTGCTTTCCATGGTTGATTTGAAAGGAGTTCTCAGGTAGGGAGGAGAAACACATTCCATTTAAGATAAGGCAGAGTGGAAATAATCCAGTTGGTAAGAAGCTAACTAAGGGATCCTTGTCCTCTGGTTGGTGGCCACATCTGGCAAAAGCAGGAGAACTCATGGCTAGGCAGATGGGGCCTCATGAGGTCCGAAGAAGTCGAAAGGGTCTGTGAGGTGCTAATTGTATAGCTGTCCTGGTTAAAGGTCTGGCAGAGGCAAGAGGTAGGAGCAGGTAGGGCATCTACATGCAAGGCAGTGCGGTGCTAGACGAAGCTCACAGGCTGTGTAGCAGGTACCTGTAAATAACAGTGTTTCTACTTTTCTTTCTTTCTTTCTTTCTTTCTTTCTTTCTTTCTTTCTTTCTTTCTTTCTTTCTTTCTGTATTTTAGGGGAGGGTCTACATGGTCTTTAGGGTCTCACTACTAGATTGGACTCATAGTGATTCTCCTGTTTAGAGCCTCCTAAGTGCTGGGATTACAGGTGTGCGCTACCACTCCCAGTTTCAATTGCTGTCTCAGCATGCCCCAGGGGTGGGGCTGGCACTGCAGGCCCTAGGGATTGATCCCTGGTCCCCTCACTTTAATCACTGAGCCATTTGGCCGGCCCAGTGTTTCTACTTATAAAAGATATTTTGAGTTCAAGGAGACAAAACTTAGTATGTGGCTCACCAAAAGCAGGGAAATGCAGTGGTTAAGGAATGTAGGAGAGGTCAGGTGTAGGTGGCCTTTGAGTGCTTATCTGCTCGGTGTTTTCTAGAAAGTCACTTAATCTCTTTATACTTCTGTTTCTTCAGTACTAAAAACAGGTGTCTGGAGATGTTAAATGAGATAATACCTGTAAATACTTAATAAATATTGGCTGTTATCATTGATTTGGTGCAAAAGTGACCCAAACTATCTTCCAAGAGCTAATAGACATCAGTGGTCAGCGTGAGCTTAAATCAGCAGTCTAGGTTGAAGACTGATATCGCAAGAATATGTAAACCATATTGGAGAGTCTCTTTGCAAGGTCCTGAGTTGAAAAACTGAATACAGATACTTAGAAGCATTAGGGAAGCATGGCATTTCAAGGATTATTAAGGTGTTTTAAGATAATGACTCATTAAAGAGTCTTTTATCTAAGTGTATTGATATTTTGAAAGCAAGACACACAGCTTATTACATAAAAGTCATTCAATAAATGCTGATTGAATAGCTTTCAAAAAATGAGGCATTATGACTATCAAATTATGGGAAGTCCTCCCTAGTTTCATTTGTAATGTTTACAAATAAATTGAAAAGATCAGTTTACAGCACAGCATGTAGCAGTTGCTCCAGATTGTCTGCATAAAACATGGAACAGGTCTTGAAGTTTTACAGCACAGCATGCATACTATTTCACTGGGTGGTGCAGGGATAGGGAAACAAAAGAGGCTCACACCATTTTGCTGGCTTACCTACTGTGGGAGCAGTAAGGGGTCAGGGGGAGTAACAAAATATATTATTTGCAATTATAGATATTTTATACAAATGATATTTATTTTCTCATTAGATCTACTCCATTTCTACGTATTACTTCCCATCTGTGTTGTCAAAATAAATTATAAAATCATTGGGAAGAGAACTGCCCTGTTATATCTAACATAGTGGTGTTTTGTCATAATAGGCATTCAGTATATTTGTTAGCTGATTTGTTTTTACTGAACAATCAACACTTTGCAGTTGCATTTGTGACTTTTGACTTTGGATGATAAATCGTTTTAGAGACTACGGGAATGAAGTGGACTGGGTAATCTGAGACTCTTTAATGCTGGTATTCTAAGGTGAGTGATTCTAAGAAGGAGAGATCTTAGAGTGTATAGTTTTTGAGAAAACTTGGGAATTTATTAGCCTTGTAAGAACATCTGAGTGAGTCTAACACAATAAACTTATGTAGATAAGATTGTGCATATTACTAGTAAAAAGGATGATAAATGAGTAAACAGTCTTTGGTGTTTCTGACTCCCCTGACAGGCACTTTGGTACCAGATGAAGTGGCAGGGGCGCGCAGGTGCTGCTGCCTTAGCTGACTCCTAGTGCCCCTTCTTGCTTTAGGCCTTGGACAGATCCTGAGCTCTTGTGCCTGTTTCCTCACATGAAAAACAATGGTAATAGTACTAACTGCTTTGCAGTGTTGTTATAGAGGTTAAAGGAGTGAATCAGAATCCATAGAATGCCTCAAGGATTGTCTGGCACAAAGGCACCGTATGGTTGTTGTTTCTTCAGTTACAGCTGCCTTCCGAGCTGTCTCCATGATGGGGGTCACAGCAGAAAAGACTCATGGAAATTTTTTTGTTCTTTTATTTTTTCTGGTATATGTCTACAAAACTTTGGGTGAGGCTTAGCATTTAAAAACAGCTGCTGTTTTCTATGCTTATGTATTAAGGGAGTTTTTAAGAAAAAAAAATTCTAGTATTTGGGAACTCATTGTCAGAAGCCAAGTAAGCACTCTTTCACTCAGCAGCAGTGTCCCAGCCATAGGCCTGGAATGATTTTAAGGCAAGCAATCTCCTGCTCAAAGTGCTGCCTTTGATGTCAAATGGTCATTAAAAGTCCCATGGCACTTCACTAAGACTTAAAATTCTTCCTTTTTATCTCTTGGCAAGGGTTCAATTTGAGATGAAATTCCCTTAAAGTGGTGAAGGTATTTATAGTCCCCTTCACCTAATGCCTGTGGGTAGCCTTGTTCTGCTGGGGGAGGCTTCTCTTCAGGTGGTCTAGATGGACTCTTGCTCGCCTGGCTGAGTTGCTGAGGCTTGTGCGTTTATGAAACGTGCTTTGCCATTTGGCATATGGTTGCCAATCCGTTCTTTCTGTAAACTGTAAATGGACAAAATTTTTCATTATTTTGAAATTACTTACATTCTTTGCTGTTTTTTCTTGTGAAAAATGCCTGAGTTCTCTTCCCTTAGTTATTCTCTGAGAAATGTTTTAAAGAAATTCTGAATGTGATAAAGCTCAGAAAGGCCTCCACAGATACAAACTGCTGAGATTAAATATGATGCTAAAGAGTGAAAAGGAAGAAACTGGACTAGGCTGTAATAATCACAATGTGACAACGTTTGAGGGCAATTCTTAGGACTTCTGAATTTCTGCAGAAAACTGTGATGTTAAAACATTGTTCAAAAATAGCTACGTAAATTAATTAAAAAAATAACTTCTTTTGTACAGTGTTGGAGCCTAAGTGCTAGTAGGCTCCTTAAAAAAAAGCTGTTGCTTTCTCTATTCTGTACTAGGTGCAGGTCCTAGTTCAAGCGCTTTGAATTCAAGTCCCTGTGTACAGAGGACCTTGCTTTGTAGAGATGTTTCATTGCCGCTCCAGTTGATGTTTGACATTTCTGTCTCTCAGACCCTTTCACACATTTTCTGTTTTCATCAGAATTGTTTTTCCGGGAATGGCCTGGGATGGTGAGGTCTGAGTCCGCTTGCAATTTCTTGATTCGCCTCAGGTCGCCGAGCTCTGAGCTCTGGCGGCGGACGCGTGGCTAGCAACTCAGGGCCGCAGGCGGGGGCGTGGCCTGCCGCGGATTGGGGCGTGGCTTTCCGCGGGCGTGAGGGCGTGGTGTGTGGGCGGGGCTTCTCGGGCTAGCAGCCCGCGGCGCAGCGCAGGTTGCCGTTGGCTGCGGTGGCAGCGGCGGGAGCCGGACGCTCGTGGCGCTCTGCTGCTCAACACTTTTCTTCTCCCGCGCGGCTTCCACTCACTTTGGCCGCGGGCAGCAACTGGCGCGCTCCGCCTGGAAACTCGAGTGGCGCAGCTCGGGGAGCCGGGAAGCCGAGGCGCGTGGTGGCGCCCCCTGCGAGGGCCATGGGCGCGCGGACCTGGCGTGCTGGCTGCCGCTGGCTCTTCCTCGCGGCCGTGCTGGGCTCCGCCCGCGGCGAGGGCGCGCAGACCTGCGAGGAAGTTCACAAACTTTTCCAGGGGCGGCTCGCGGGAGCGGTCCGGGGGCTGCCGGAGGCACCGCGGGCAGGTAAGACGCTGCGCCGGGTGCGGGCTGGGGTCCCTGGAGCGTTCACCCTGCGTGCCGGGTCCCAGAGGGGGCGCTTGGAGGCCGGGGACCTTTCGGGCTAGCCGGCTGCGCAGGCGAGTCCTGAGGGGCTCGGGTGCCGCCGGGGACCCCGACTGCGCCCGCGGCTCCTGAGCGCTGGCGCCGGCTCCTCACTCTCGCAGGACGCCTGCAAGGAGCTGGGAAGGCAGGCGTGCTGCCCATGCGCGTCTCGGTTAGAAGAGGGACCGAGAGGAGTTGGGCTGCCCGTCCCAAACACGAACCTCCCTTATGCTCCTTTGCTGGAGAGCGGACTCTAACAGGACATCTGTCTTTTCTGTAACCGGGACCCGGATCCTGGACCCTCAGAGACGCGAATGTCAGGGACTCCTGTGCATCTTGGCGCCAAGTCCCTCTTGACGGAACCGGACCTGCTAATGTGTCTCTCAGAACTCAGTTTTACCTGAAAAGTGTTAGGGCTACAGGCGGCCAAACTTAACACAGTCGGGTGTCGTGTACCACGGATGAGATACAGCAGACTCAAAGAGTGTGAGTAGTGTTAGTGTGCCTAGTGCAGGTCGTGCTTTCTGTGAGCACATTCTTGAGACGCTTTACCTTCCTGATCCCAGTGCTCCCCGCACACATTTTTGTCTGCTGGCAGGAGTTCCAGGGCTTGCCTTATGTGGAAGAGGTCTTAGTGGTCCCGTACAACAGCAGGTGTCTGGAGCTAAGTCAGATCTTGCTGGAGCCATGCACCCGCTTTAGCTGTGGCTGTGAAGAAAGAATAGAAACGAGTGCTGTGAGATTACTTGGTTTAACAAAGAATTGTGAGAAGAAAGATTTGTACTAATAATGTTTTGACAGGCTATCATGTCTGCATCTTGTTTTATGAATAACAACTATGAAGACAACAATATGCAATGTATTAATTATTGAAACTGTCCTATTAATTGGTTTTGAAACTGTGTCATTGCTCTTTGTTTCTCAATAAAATTAATTAAAAAAAACCCAAAGAATTGTGGAGGATGCTTGAGCCTAAAATCCATCCACTGCCCGACTTTCCAAAGTGAGGAGCCCAGCTCTGAGCACTACCCAGCGGTGGCACATTTGCTTGATTGCTTTTCTGGCTGGGAACTCAGTTCTTGTCAACCTGGGAAAAAAAACCTGGTTATTTGGGAACACTATGCATTTAAGTTTACATAACCCACCTTAAATGCAGAAGTATTTATTTGCATTCGTGGTAGGCATTACCAGATGCCTGTTTTCTTCTTGAAACAACATAGTTTTGCCTCCTCAAACAAAATAGCCTCTTGTAAATAGCCTCATGCCTATTTTTTTAATTTTAGTGGATTGTTTTCATTAAGAAATCTTACGTGGCTGTTGGTAAATTAAAGTGTGTGTGTGTGTGTGTGTGTGTGTGTGTGTGTGTGTGTGTGTGTATGGCAAGCATGTTGAGCTGTGCAGTTCTCATTTGAATTTATTAGGGTTTGCTCCCCAGATGCCATCATTTGGCTGAGATGTGTTCCGTGAATGCTTCTGCTGCCTAGGGCGGCCCTGGTTTCAGAGCTTTCTCGTATCTCCATCTTTCTGGTGCCTGCCTCATACAGTGCTCCGGCTAGAAGGTAATACATTTCAAGAAATGTGTATGTCACTTATTTTGAAGAGGAACTTCCCAGAGTATTAATCACTGAGATAACATTTTATCAAGATGTATTGTACAGTCACACTGAAGCTCTGCCCTGCGGAGAAGGAAATGGTTGTCATTATTTGCACTGATACATAGGACAGAAAGTACCAGGATGGCAAGAATCTCATTTCCGAAGTTACCCTGGGTTGTGTCCCTGTGGCTAGCTAGCCCTTTTAAAATCTGTGGCTTAAGCTGATATAGCAATCAGTGCATCCACTGAAGGACTGGGCCACCTGCAGCCCTAGGGACATCGCTGGAGCTGGTGGAAAGGAGTACTAAATGCCTTGATATTTTAATTAAGAAAAAGTCCCGTGGAAGTGTTATCCTGATCTAGACTGGTACAGGAAAAGGCATTTATATGTATTTCATACAGTTGTGATTTTTTGTTTTTGTCAACAAAATATTAAAGTCTTGCTTTTAACATCTATTTTTTTCTTCCCAACTCAAAACTTTACTAGATTAAGTAAAATGCACATATCGTATTTTCAGTTGTTTTTCTTAATGTCTGTATTTACATGTAATGTATAACATTTAATATGATTGAATATACTAGTAATTAGGTATCTTATTTTCTAAAAATATACTCAGCCTCAAAAGAGAACATGATTAAAACATAGGTAGTCATTTCCACATTAGGATACAAATGTTAATATTCTTTCAATAAATGTTCTTACACAGGCTTTTGCTAACTAAAGTGAGTGCACTAATTTGATATTTGTTTTTCTTGGCTGCATATCTTCAGTGCTGCGGGTTCTTTTTATTTTGTACACAGTGGTTAGTTCATGAGATGTCCAGCCAAAACACCATTTTCATAATACAGGAAAGTAGAATAACTTTTTACAGTTTCTTCCTACATTTATGACTTTTATATCTTTTAAAAAGTATGTTATTCAGTTTGAAATTGTCGTATGGTGAGAACAGCCGTCTAAACTGTTTCCCTGATCCCCCTTACCTTTGTTCTCTATGCTGCTCCAATTCTTTTAAGCCTATTGAGCTCTTAAGGATGTCTGGATGAGAAATGTAAAAAGGGAAAGAAGGTGCAAATGTGGTTAGAATTACAGAATTCCTTGTGTTCTGGTTTTAGTTCTTAAATAGTAGTTAAGGTGCCCTTTGCTCTTATTTTATTCAGAAAACAACTGTTAGTAGCAGTGTCTTTGAAAGATCCTTTTTATTTCATTTATTGTGGAGGGAAGATAATGCTTTCCCATTGAGATTCCTTTCACGCAGGCCTTGGTCACAATGCGTTTTTTTTTTTTTTTTTTTTTTTCCTTCAGAGAATAGTTCAGAAATTTCTAAAAAAAAAAGTTGGAGAATGCATTCAAGTGATTTATACATTAGTTTTTAAAATGTATATGTTCATAGAAAACCCTGTATTAGTTTGTGCAAGATTAATCTTAATTAACAGTCTTACTACAACAAAATACCGAAAGCACTTAGCTCATACAGAGAAAATGTTTATGTGGCATAAGGCTTTGAAGTCTCCCATCCAAGATCAAGTGGTCCCAGTAACTTGGGCACACCATGGCCAATCAAAATGTTTGTGTCACAGCCCAGGAAGAGGGGAAGAGGAAGAGACCAGGTTCCCAAGGTCCCTTGAGCACATGGCCACAGTAACCAAGCGAGAACTTCTCACTAGCCTTTCCCTCCAAAACCGTCCACCATACCTCCTAAACATGCAACTTTCAGGGCCACGTCTGCAATACATGGATCTTCAGTGGGCATTCAGTATCCAGATTGAAGGGATGACTTTTCTTTGGAGGGTTTTGCCTATAGGTAGAAGGTGAAGAAGAAATTTGATGTAGCAAAATGAAATTCCAGTACTCTAAGACACTTAAAAGTAGCACTCTAGGGTTTTGTTTTATTTTAAGCTGCTTTCCCTATAATCAAATGTTATAGTTCCTTCAAGAACAGTTTAATTCTCCTATCGAAGAGACACACTCTATCTGATGAACTTGGAGTTTGGAATTACAGATAGCTCAATTTTTGCTACTTGTAGTTCTTTGTCCTGATTAATCAGTTATCATTGACATCTCTGTTTCCTAATCTGTAAAGTGGAAATATCCAGGAAAGGTGGCTGCATAGGCAAAATGAAGTAAGGTGTGTAAAATGACCTAAGCCCAGGCACATTATGTGATCAAAGTGTATTCTTTTTTTAAAAAATGTATTTAGTACAGGGTCTGTAGGGTCTGACTACACAGGTCAGGCTCGTAGTGATCCTCTTGTTTTCAGCCTCCTAAGAGCTGATACTACAGGTGCACACCACCTTGTCCAGTCTCAGTGGGCTTCTCACTGCGCTCTGGGGGCTGGCCAGCACAGTATGCCAGGATTGAAACCTGTCCTTGTATTTGCTTATTTAATCCACTGAGCTATCTGGCTGGCCCTTCAAAGTGTATTCTTGTTGTTATAATTTTTATTGCATATGTCAATTTTAACTTTAACTGGATTTATAAGGGTAAGATTTTAATTTTAGATTTATGTACACAGAAATTTTATAATAATGACTTATTTTTCAGTTATAAGTGGTTATTTCTAAAATTGGGAAATATGTTTATTGAAAATAACATAGTAGGTTATAGTGGATATTTTGTGTTGTAATGTAATAAAATTCTAAGTAAAAACAAGACTCCTATTAGCTGCGGTATCCATAGCCATTCTCTCCCCTGCTCCTACCACCATTCTGGTCTGTTTGTCTTCAGGGACTCAAAGTAATATGTGTCTACCCATTAGACGGCTGGTGGCCATAGTCACCATTGACAGTAATTTCTAATTGAGATTTTGTTCTCAAATCGAGTAGCATAGTTACAGTGATCAATTTCCATAACCAAAATTGAGACCCATAGTTTGAAATTGTGTCAGATTATTAATGTCATGACAGTGCTGGACCCAGCACAAAGCACCTTAGGAAATATGCCTGGAGTCAAACAAATGAGGTTTGTTGTGCTCCCTGCAGCAAGTGAAGATTGCACACAGCGGAATTATGGGTGTCCTGTCAGCTAGCAGTTGGGAGGGCTTCTAGAGGCTCTGGAAAGAGCTCTGTGGCTATAAGGAGACTTTAATGAATGGGGACAATTAAGATATTGACTATCTTTTATCTTGGCATTGGAAAGATTAAAGTGGGGTTATTTGTCACTCATAAAGAGGTAGTAACTAGAGTTGGTCAGACAAGAAGATGCTTAACCATTCTGTGATTGTAGGGGACTGTCCATGTCTTTCGCAGCACAGGTATCCAGCAGTCCTGTCTCATTGCTGAGTTCATATTGTGTGCATGCTGTTTATGTTGGATAGTGATCATCAAAGC